CTGCAAAGGCTTGCAGACGAAAGTAAAACGTTGCATAGCTAAGAAAATTTCACAGGCATCTTCAGTTATAAAAGAAATCCTATGTAGTTAGACACAGCTGACCTGTACTTGTGCTGTTCAGCGAGCAGAAGTTACCGTGCTTCCCTCGAGTCTTCACATGACTAGCGTGTCTATCAGACGTACAAACCCAAGTACACTCTTGAACTGAGATGAATCGAGAATAAAGCAGTAGGCTATACAAGAACATTGGCCTAAACATGCTGTAAATATTTCCATGTTAAAATAAAGCTAGCTCTCAATTGACATTATATTTTTGGAAAATCATATTTGACCTTGACGACATTGTGTTGAAACTCAATGTTTGAAGAGAGGCTGGTTGTCACTGTTACCTGTTATAGCGCGCTACCACTTAGAAGCACATCTGATACCGCTGACGTATTCCTGCCTCATGCAGTTCAACTCACTAACAGGAATTTTCCATCGTCTTATGAATTATTGATCATAGAAATGACGACACAAATATTAAAATCATTCAAAAACAGAGTAAACGTCACAATTTTTTATCAAAATTTGATGGCCATTTCTATGATCTATGAGAGTACAGACAATAGATAATTTTGTTTTGATTATATACTTGAAAAAAGGAACAATTTCTATTACATTAAAGTAAAGCGTAACGTCCAAACAAATGTTAAACAGATTTTTAACACATGTACAGAAAACAACGAGTATATGAATGAAGAAGAAAATCGTGAGGGCACTAATCACCAGAGATCGACTTTTTTTTCAGACACGAAAATGAAAGCACAATTACTTCTTAGCAGAAAAAGGAACTTTGTATTTCATTGCTGGATAAAGTTTGGCTATCGACCGATGAATGCGCGAGAATTTCTGCAAAGGCTACCGTTGTAAAAGTGTGTTAGTAATCTTACTTTGCAATTGTTTCACAAGATTTTCCTTCTTTCGTTTTCTTTCTTTCGTAATTACTACAAACTAATAAGTCGGTCGTTCTCGGTAAAATAGATTTGGTCTTACATCCAAATGAAACTTTCCCTCAGATTTTCTCTCATGGAAGGAAGTAAAAAGGAAGGAAGTAAAAATTTAATAGTTTCATGAAAATAATAAAAAAACGGCCTGAAATGATGAAGCCTTCTATATATTATCTTTTTAAAGTTTACAAGTTTACAGGAATCATTGAGGACGGACAGAACGGTGAGTTTTTTTTTTTTCGCAGAAACAAGGATTCTAAAGATACAATTTATTCCCTGCTTTTGTATGAGGCCAATGTGTGCATCTCCCTTTAGGGTATGGCAGAGGCTTCAACGGACCCAATGTGATAGTACGCAAAATATATGACAAATTGGAAGCGACCGGGAGCAACAACGAGTTTTTCCTTCTCTAAGTTGTTAAAAAGTTTACAGTTTCTTATTGTTTTCAGTTCTCATGCACTGAAGGGTAAGGAGTCAAAACAGGCAGGTGGGATTTTGATTTATTTTAATGAACTGATAACTTTCATTTACCGACGACCATGAAGCATTTATGCGAGATTTGTCAAGTTTGTTATTTGACAGCGGATTCCTGATATTCGTCACTCATTAAAGCGGTTTACTAAATGCCAAACGACCAACTTAATTAATAGAAAAAAAAATTGATGAATTGTGTTTGAACGTTGATTTGTCCAAGACTAAAGTGGATGCCTCTGATTCTTAGTAAAATTAGAATAAAGTTATTTATTCACCTTTTTTTAAATTTTGAGGAAAGAAAAAAAGTCGAGATCAAAGAAGACAAACAAGAGCTAGTGTGGAGTTAATTATTGGGATCAAACTAGGGCCACAGAGGGGGACTCAGGCGAGTGCTCTCAACACGTGCCATCCTTGCTATTTTATGATCGAAACTCACCTAGTGAATATTTACTAATACTAAGATAATGGGGTCTCACCTCCTGGACGAGACCACCTTGCCTTTTGTTTTGTTGATAGCTTACAGGAAGGAGAGGAATTTGAAGAGCATTGGGAACCCTTTATAGATCAATAAAAATTGATAAACCGAGGTTATAATTCCTACTAACTGGAACCAAAACATCGATCTATTAACAGCAATTTGAATGACATGTTTACCGCCATGTTTACAATTGGTATGGAGTGGAGAGGGGGTTTTATTGTTCAATGTGTTTTTGCGTAACCAGATGCCACTGCAGGGTTATGGAGGCTATAAGAACCTCTTTACAACTCATCAACACAGTCAGCTGGTTAGGAAGAAGATAAGCGCGGAGAAGGGCGTAATAGGCGCAGCTCAAAAATGAACTCACTCCTGTCATGTATGATCCTTTTAATCCTCTTTATCACTTCATGGCGAAATGAAAAGGTAATAGTAAAGTACTAAAACCCTCAATAAGGAATCATCACATTTGCATTTCTAGTATGTTCCTTGTATCATTGTGTTTTATTTCGATCTTGTATTTCTTATAACAATACATTTATATCGCTTGTATTTCATAGCTGGGAAGAGCTATGTGACGGCTTTCAATATAGAAAACTGTAACCTTAAAAGATAACTTTTTTGTGGGTATCTAATTGTAACCTTTTCTTTAAAATGTTCGGATAACTGTTCTTTTACTTTTTTGCCTTAAAATTCCTGCTGTTATGAAGATTCACCTACGAATTTCTTTGGCTATATCGAGTATTTCGCAATAATTCAATCCCGGTCCAATCGTAAAAACTGCGTGCACGATCAGCCACGTTATTTCTATCAGAGATACGTTTTCGAGACAGTTCCTCGCGCGAAGAGGTATAAGGGTGCTTACCTGGCGTAAATTTACCTGTGTACGTCGAAAAATGAGCGCAGCCGTAAAAAATTTAAAAAATAAAAAAATTCCACTCAAGCTAAATAGGGTCTGAAGGTTTATTTCGGCTTTATCCTGGAATAATTCTGAAAGATGATGGGAAATTCTTAAAGACTTAGACTGAAGAGAAGCCTAAATAATTCAGGCTTCAATGAGATTCGAACTCGTACCTTCTAGATACTCGCTAGACTCTACTACCTACTATGCTACCATGCCATATACTAGCAGCAAGGCAACTTTTTGTAAGTTTGTCGTTGCTATTATGGAAGCTGATCCCAGTTTAATGAAAATGAATGATATTTTGACCTGCGTATGATGTACAATTAAAGAAATAGTCTTGATTAACAGGTGAGCTGAAATAAGGAAAAATGCTCAAAAGAAGCATGAAAAATTCAAGCTTCGACGCTATTCGAATGGAATTCGAAGCTCGAATAGCGTAGATCACTAAATTTGCATTAAAGATAGAAAATTCTGTGGAATTCAGCAAAATCATAGATATTAACGTTAGTGCGTAAGTTATTTTGGTGCGTGCGTTTCCTTCTAAGTTGTTTCCCCATCTATTTATCCACCCATTGTTATAACTCATTGTTATAACTCATTGAGTGAAAGTGAATGATTCGATACCTTAATAGCAGCATAGGCTGAATTGCTAAGGTCTACAGTGTTACTAAGGTTGAGATCGGACGTCAGCATTATCAGGCGCCTCTGGCAGCCGCTTTAGTCCATGTAACGACCTCACCTTTTCCCCCACACATCCCACCCCAGGGGAGGACATCCATCACACAGTAATCTCGTGTGTGGGAAATTAACGTCTCCTACCCCTAACCCTGCAGGAGACGGGACCTCCATTTATTCGTCCTTATCCGAGAAGACTAGAATATCTAACCATTTCATTGATGTTATAGAAAGGTAGCAAATTCTCCTCAGTTATTTTAAGACCATGAGTATTGGTCCGGCCGGGGCTCGAACCCTCGACCTCCCGCACAACACAATCCGGCGCTCTAACCAATTGAGCTAACCAGGAGGCGGTTATAACTCATTGTTATAACTCATTGTTATAACTCATTGTTGAAACCCATTGTTTCGCTCCGACGAAGGACTAACGCTCGAAACGTCAGCTTTTGTAATCATTACGGTGGCCAATTTACCATTTCAACTTTGTTGATATATCCAAATTATTTCGTTACTCCCACCGACGCAGCCCCAAACAGTTTTTTTCGAAACTATCGGCCTTTATTCATTGTTATAACTGTTTTAATCTTATAATTCAGAGCGTCGTAGAAGGGAAGCTGAAGAAACACTCCAAATATACATGGCTGCCCTCGTCACCAAAAGTTGATCATATGGTAAATATAATCTGCTCCTCTATTGTCAAGATTGGCTCAAATCTTGTTGAATCTGTTTTTAAATTCCTAAAAGGGTGGACAAAAATGCTTAAAGTTATACTTTTATTCTCATTTAAACAGGGATTTGCGAAACAGGACTTATGTAAAACTAAACGAGATTGCAACAAAGACGAATGCTGTGCGTTCGTTAAGACGAAAAGCGTAAAAGTATGCAGAAAAGTCCGATTATTTGGAGAGACATGCAATCCATACGAAAGGGTAATAATTTGGATGTGAAGATGTTTTCAGTTTCACACTTCTCTTTATCTTAAAAAGTCAGGAGTTTTGCCTTTTCATCGCTGGTAACTTAATGCTAAGTTTTTCAAAGTCATCATTACATTTATAGTCGTTGAGGTCTTGCACTCTCAGTTAAAATTTGAAATTCTAAAAAATATGTTTAAACACCAAATAAATTAATTCAACATGTGTGGATATATATTTAGTAATATTAGGCAAAAACATTTTCCATAATTTTTTTCAGCCTGGACTTCCAGAAGAGTGCTTCTGTCATCAGGGACTGACCTGCAGGCGCTTTGCGAGCGAAGGTTTCAGATGTCTGAAGATTATTACCAGCTCACAAGATGGAGAACACGAAGAAGAGTAAAGTGGTCGCTTTTTTAATGATAATATTAAGTAATGAAAATAAACAGTATAGCTTTGCTAAAGATTGCAGGTTTGTCAAGATTTAAAGGAGTGCCTAAATCCCAGTTGTTGGAGTAGTGCATTTCTGAAATAAAATTCAAACAAGTATTTGAAGGTCCAGTATGAAATGTCTAAAAACACTTGGAAACAAGGGCTGATGGTAACCAACCTCTAAGAAATCGATTCAAAATTGGCTAAATTATGCATGGTTTTCCAGAAGCTAGTAACATTCATGCACATGCGCTTACACATCTCAAATTCTAACTGAATGACAACTGCAAAGCTGCTGCTATCAGTTTGAGTCACTCATTATCACAAACAAACTGCTGCCATTAGTTCGAGTTTCTCATATCATCACAATTTACTGTTTCTCTACTTCACTGGTAAGGCTTTTGAAAGGAAAAAGAAAGCTATCGCAGATAAAAAGAAAGTTACAAAACAGCGATGAAAATTAACAAATGGTAGACACCACAGCGTACACTATTAAGTTATGGATGCACACGGGAGGTTGCTAAGCACGAAAGAAGCGTAAGAGTCGCTCGAGGCGATAGCCGAGAGCGACTCTAGCTTCTTGAGTGCTTAGCAAACCTCTCAAGTGTATCCATAACTCAATAGTGTACGCTGTGGTGTTTACCATTTGTTTTATAACACAACATTGATACATTGTAGCTAAAGAGTTCCCTTTTATTTAACAAATCTTACGCGACCAGAAAAAACAAGCGCGCGCGTAAAAATAGTCGGTGCATTTGCTCTCGTCAGCAGCGTACACGCATGAGCAAATGGGGGACGCTAAATTGACCAATCAGAGCGCGCGCTTTACTTTGGTTATGTAATTACGATAATCTTCAACAATACTAGTTCTTTTTTTGTTACGAGTTTCTCCCGTTTCCAAGTTTTCCCTTTTTTTGCAAAATTTTCCAACATAATGACTTTTCCGACAAATGTGAAAGCATCTTAAGCAGTTTACAGCTCTCAATCCGGGGCTGTACTCGGCACATCATTCCTTCGACATTCCCAAATACTTTTCTTTGATTAGTAGCTAATAGCAGGTTTAAAGTTCTTAGACTAAAAAATGTAAGTTCTCAGAGGCTAGTGTCTTTTTTTTGGAAAAGACTGAAAGAATGAATGCATTTTCAGCTATGGCAAATTCGCGTGTTAGTTCCTGTACCTTGTTTAGCCGGCAAGTCTTTCTTCAAGAATGATAATATTCGTTTGATCCCACACAAGATGACCAAAATGCAAAGAGCGGACTTACAAAAGTTTGTACATTTTGGATGTCGGCGATGAAGTCGCAAAAAGACACGGAAGACAGTCAAAAGAAATAATACACAAATGACGCTCGAGGGTTTTTTGCCCTACGTTTTCTTTTCCGGCTCTCGAAATAAAGGAGTCATTCTTGGTTCCTAAGCGAAATCTTTTTTCCAGATGATAAAATAATCCTTTATTGACCAAGCTTGTTCAGTCAAGATGGCTGGATATTAGCCTCATTCTTTCTTGCGTTTTTATCGACGTCGACTTCATCTCGGTCCATAAAACGCAAAAAAGAACTCGTTCAATATCCAGCCATATTGACTGAACAAGCTTGGTCATTAACGCTTATGTAATGCCGAGTGCAATGTATTAAGTAAACAAACTGTACTGTAATCAAAATTGAGCACATTTATTTTCTTTAAAATTTTCACATTAAACCAGATCAAAACACAAACGCGTTCACTCATATCTACACTAATAAATTTTTAACACAAACTTGAACTTGACTATTCATAATGGTTGAATAGGACAAAACAATAAGAACGTGACAAAATTTTGTGATATGTTCAACCACTTAATATTAAGACAAACACGAAAAGTCTTGGCAGCTAATAAGTAAACAAAACGTTTAAACTCAAGCCCTCGCACGTTCAAAAGACCTCGCTGACTAAACCAAAAAGGTAAAATCATCACCGTAAGAGTAACTATGCTTTATCTTAGCAGTTTGCCTCTGACTAAGCCCCTCTACAACTCCTCCTGCGAACACACGAACTTTAGTAATAGTTTGCAGACATTCAAACAGTTCCTCTGAAAACTTTGCATGATATGATAATCCACGAACGGATATTCTGAGGCGCAGACTAAGTGACAGACCTAGCTCAGGGACAACCCGTAAGTGGCTCTCGTGCCGGGACACTACCGCGCCCATGGGGAGTCACTTCAGCGGTTACACGCCCCACTTCACTACTTCCAAAGAGCTTAACGTCTCCTAGAAAATGAAATTTAGAAAGAGTTCGTATCTGTTGACTACAAGACCAAGTCATCAAGCAACTCACGGGGAGGTTCTTTCTATGTTCCACATTTGCTCTTAATGATTTCCTTTAAGTAGTCCTTTGTTACACCAATAACAGCTGTCTGAGAACGGGAAGCTTAACTACGAATTCAAAAACCGTTCAGCAAGGTTTAATTAGGTAAGTATAACTTTGCACTTCCTAACGGCTCAAACATTGTGTACAGATAGATTGGGAGGCATTTCAAAAGGAAGGCATTCTCGTGGTCACATTTTCGATCAGAAAACATTGCCGTAAAAAACTGAATTTTTTTTAAGTGCTGCTTGGGAATAATGAGACAACTTTCACCTGGTTAAGTTGGCAAACACAAGGCTAGTATCATTGCCTTCTGGAGGTCTTCTCTTGTTAAAGCGATGGTGAGACCTGGACGACTGTTCAGAACCAGCCTGTCTTTGCTGAGCTAGCATCTCTACGGAAAATCAAATAAAGCCGTAAGAAATACATAGTATAGTCAATCAAATGCAAATGGAGTGGTGTCAGAGCATTCCATGCAGTGCTTATGTTGTGGCTCTTTAAACAATATTTTCATTGTCAGCTGGCCTTTGTCTTCTGCTGCCATCTTTCACATGAGTAAGAAGTCAGGTTTCTCAGTTGCCCCGAACAACAGCTAATTCTTACGTATTACTACCATCAGTGTGAGGTAGTAAATGATAGCAGTGGTTGAAATTCAGTACCATTGTAAATCTCTTCTTCTTGTCTCTGATTGTAATCCAACACGAGTCTCTTGACCTCTTCCTGTTCCTGTTGTTCAGCCATTTGTCTGTCCCGGATATTTGCCGCCAGACCAGAGCTGAGAGGAATCTGAAGATCTGTTCATTCATGGAATCAAAAACAATGTTACCGCAGACACCCTTACATTAAGAGACTTCGTCTAGTTCCTTAAGGCGGCATTGTGAATCGCCCTTATACGTTCAAGTAGAGGACTGAAGATAAATTCAAATAAAACGGCTAAAGTTTAAACAAAATGGAGAGGAGTAAAAAATGAATAGCTGTTGATTTCATTAATTATTAACTGAACAATCCCGATAGGTATGTTGCAAGGCAATTCTACATGAAGCACAAAGACCCCTCTCTCGAAAGTCCAGCTATTTTCTATTCTAATTCTACGGGATACTAGTTTGGGTGGTATTGAATTTCAAACTATCAATATCTCTATTTTGAATGAGACCCAGCACATAAAAATCAACTTTTTAGGCTCGTAAAGTTAAATGATTCTTTCGAGAAACAGAGCTCAGCTGGTAACTAAGTCAGTCATCGTTAGAGGAAAATTTGCCATTCGGGCCTTGGCCCTAAGGTAAAAATTATTTAAGCTTTATGCCCTTTCAAAGGAAGCATGGAAGTGAAGTACCTTAGTACGAATCCATACCTGAAACGTACTCAGACTTTCAGATAAATAAATTTAATTCTCGTGAAAAGAACTTGCTCGCCTTTAAATTGTTGTTTATTTCCCTTCTTCAACATGACAACAAAGTTCAGGTTTTCGCTCTCTTCAGTCAAACTGTTGTGACGAGCTCTCTGTCCTTTCAGGTGCATTGGAACTGCAACATCCAAACTCGGCACCTGACAAACAATATTAAACTGAATAAAGGCGAAAACAAAAAAAGAGAGAGAGAGAGAGAGACAGAGAGAGAGAGAGAGAGAGAGAGAGAGAGGAAATAAAACAACAAAAACACAATAGCAAATGGTTCAGTTATTGTCTCTTTGAGCCTTGCTAATGTCTTCTTACTTCTACACTTCAAACAGCCCGCTACAATCAATCAACGCCACTGTCCGTTTGCTCGCTGTTTGTCGTGCAATAAGGTAACCAATTTGGGATAGGATATG